TATTATGAATAATGAAATCAATGAACTATTAATAATATTTGACATTTTTATGCCCATGAGGATTCAACTCGGCTGGGCAGCGTTCCGGAAACTATGACACATCTTCTCGTTAAACATGCCTCAAAACTTGAAAACGAAATTGTACAACTAGTGCGTGTTGCCAGTGATGACTTACGGATCTGAGACGTGGTCCGTCACTGCTGGCCGTATGAGGAAGCTCAAGGTCGCTCAGCGAGTTATGGAGAGGGTTATGCTCGGGGTTTCTCTGCGTGATAAACTTGGAAATAAGGATATCCGCAGTAGAACCAGGGTAACCGACATAGCCCAACGGATTAGTAAGCTGAAGTGGCAGTGGGTCGGCCATATAGCTCGAAGAACCGACAACCGATGGGGAAGAAAGGTTCTCGAGTGGCAGCCCCGTACCGGTAGGCGAAGTGTAGTGCGACCCCCCACTAGATGGAGTGACGACCTGGTAAGACATGCAGGAAGTCGATGGATGCAGGTGGCTCATGGCCTATGTTCAGCAGTGAACTTATGAAGGGCTGTAATGATGATGATGATGATGATGATGCCCATGAGGCTGATCACAGACTGAACTTTATTTGTGTTTAAATAAGACCTTTATGTAAACTGTGAATCACAAATAAACTATTTGACTTGATTTGAACATTTAGCTTTTATATGATTTCTTTTTCCAGTAAACTTAAATTTATTTTTATTTTATTTTATTAATTTATTTATTTTCACCAACAATATAAATTCAGAAAACAAAAAATATGTGCTTACATCTGATACAATACTATTGTTAGGTGTAAAACTGGTGCCTAAACTAGGTAAAACCTGTATTTTAGGTCACCATTTTATTCCCAAGGAGCGTGATATAACAGAAGTTAAAAAAAAAACAGAAAATAAAGGTTACTGATAAATAAATAACATGACAAGAAAAATATGGAGTAATAAATATGGAGAGAATAAGAAAAATATAACAATAAAGACTACTGGTGGCATCGTCGTGTCGTTTTGTGACGTCACATCGCAATGCGGAGCAAAGCGGTCGCCCTTACCGTAAAACACCATTTTACTCATCAATATTTCAGTCATTTTTAAAGGTAGAACAAAAATAAGAATACTGTTGAATTCGTAATTTTTTATACAATTTTTTGATAGGTACCCTTAACAACAGACCCATTGCCACAAATATTATCGTGCGGTATACAGAAACTATATAATAATCAGTGCGTATAGCCAATAATGACTTACAAAATCAAAATTTGGTCCTTCACTGCCTGTATGATAATAAATAGACTTATCTATGTATGCCCATCAACATAAGCAGCCTTTCCGAGGCTGAAACATACCGATACCTGGGTATGTCACAAAGTATAAGTATTGATGAGGCGGACATGAAACAATCAGTTTGATCTGTTTTAAGCACGCTTGACCAAAGTGCTTAACAGCCATTTGTCTAGAGTGAACCGAGGTCCCTAACTATTTAAAAAAAGACGCTTATTTTTAGAAAAAGGTTAGGTAGTAGACTACCTACGATTTTTTAAATTTTCGTTCATCTCTTAAACACAAAATCTCCATAAATCGGTTAATTTTTACTGGAGGGGAAAAAATCATAAAAACTTTTGTATGTAAAATTTTAAGCTCTACACATTTTTATTACTTTATTTGTCTAATTTTTACCGTTTTCGAGTAATTACGAAAAACACTTGACAATTTTTTTTCAACCCTTACTGGTGGTTGCAGACATTAAAACCTTTACACATTGTTTTTGTATCATTAAATTTACATTACATATATCAAAAATGCAAAGTTCAGTGCCAAAATTTTTATTTCAAACCTTATTTCACCGGACTAATATTATTATATAGCGGTTGAGTCATGCCTATCCTTATGTATACCTTTGGCATACTCAGGTAGACTCAAACTGAACTTAATGTCCTGGATAGAAAAGTCCCATAGGATGTCATTTATTACGATAAAGGTCTTGGCCGTGGCAGGCTACTCTGAATAAATTTGCTGCAGTGTTGCAAGCTTGGTGGATTTTCCACTAAAACTGGTGGTTTTATACTCCTTTTAGGGGAGGAGTATTGCTTTTAGTTGCTGGTGGTTTTTTCTAGTGGATCAGTGGAATTCAGTTTCAATTAGTGGAAGATGATAAGTCAACCATTATGCCACTTAGACGTTTCGAAATTAAGGACAATTTAACTACTACATTTAAGGACAATTTACTTTTGCTGTGTATACTCAACCAAATCTAAGGAATACCTTTTGACAGCTGTCACATTTACTAGACTAACTAAAAATCGGAATCCACAATATTCGATTTTTAAGATATATATATATATATATATATATATATATATATATATATATGTATTGAATCTTTAGAGTTGGTAATCATTTACAGTTTATGGAGGTTAATACCAGAAGAAATCAAATAACAGATAACTCAAACACACAAAATATATCATTATGGTTTCTTATATTTACGCGAACACTACACATTAAATGAAACTAATTTCACGGATTTTGTCGCGCTTAATTTAACTTTTTAATGAGGGCATCCACGACTTTTTCTGCCACCAGGCGGTGCCACTTAAATGTGGGGTATAATATTTCACAGATTTCATAGCGGGGAAGTTAATTTGTTGTAATGTAAGGTTAATGTTTCTTTCTGTACTGTTAGCTATATTTTGTATTAGTAAGATTAAAAATAAATAAAGTGTTTTAGTTTATTTATATTATTTTTATAGTATATTACACCGAAATATTAAAATAAATGCGAAAAATCAAAATAAATGCAAAAATAAATGTCAAACACAATGTCAACTTACTATACTTTTTTCATAAACCACAGATATGCATAAAAGTAGAAAAATTAAAAAAAAGTTAAGTTTTTGGTCCGATCTACACAGAATGAGCTTACCATCTTAAAGTCTTGTGGTGATATTCTTGGGTTTGGGTTTAATTTTGTTAATTATAGGATCCCAAGGAAATGGCAGAACCCAACCATCTTCTCAATTGAAATTAGGCATTTTTTTTAATTTCAAAAGCCTCACGAATGGTGCCTTGGTGGGATTCGGTGTTCTTTTGCGAGAATTTGTTGTCTATCTAATCTAATGTAATAGCTGGGACGATCTTGAACATGTTCATAGACTGCAGACTTCCCGGAACACCGGTGCTTCAAATCAGCTACATGTTGATTTACGCGGGTTTTTATAGATCTTTTTGTTTGTCTTATGTAAAAGAGACCACATTCACAATTCAGCTTGTACACTCCTGCATTTTGTAAAGGAATATGACACTTGACGGATGGTAAAAATTGACTAATCTTCTTCAGCGGCTTGTAGTAGATTTTAATGGAAGCTTGCATCAAGATGTAGCCAGTCTTATCTGTGACTCCTCTGACGTATTCATTCCTTAGCCTCAGTCATTTCTTGTGTAGTAGTTGTATTTTCTAAAAATTTTTCTCTGACGGATCCCTCATTGCAAATTATGAGACGCGCCCCTTTTCCCACAGGCACGCGTCTTTGCTTTCCCGCGCGTGCTCATTGGTCAAATCATATAGCGCAGTCTTGCTCAGCTTTCCACACTTTCGTCCCTTCTCACGAAATCTCTTCCACTGATTGCACAAAAGCGAGAAGAAAGATGTTACACATCAAAAATGTAAATGTTTGATTTTATTTATAGGATAAGAGTGACAAGCGAGCACACAGTGCACCTATAACCTATCCTCGTTGCGAATCAAAATGCAGATGCGTCGTCAGCCGGGAGGACTAAAATGGAATACCTCGTTTCCAGTAAAAAGGGTCTCAGGTTCTTTACACTCACCATACAAAACACAGCAGAAATAAGCTGCTATTTTACGCTGGTATTCTGTGAGAGCGTGGTCCTACCCCAGTCGAGCTGACCCATTCGTGCTTCAAGTATACAATTAATATAGCTGCAGCATGGTACTACCACGTTATTTGAATATTTTTACCGATTATTCGCATTAACATGAATTTGAATCATCTAAACACCACGAAGGTGCATAATGACATATCATTACAACTACATCAAACATAAAAGTTGATTCTAGTAATTCTTTTTTATATTTTTAAAAATTTGAATTTAAATAGGTGATAAATAACTATATATGTTGTAATGTTTAGATAACTTCATAATTCTTTGGATTTCCTTAAAATGTTTTTTGAAGTCATATAAGTACGCTCGTTCAAACTTATTGTGGAATGATTAATTATTAAAAGTATTTCTTAAATTTACTAAAATTTGTTTGAGTATAGGCAGCAGCAGCACTGATTCGTCAGATATGACGTGACGTCAGACGATCCATCCCGGTGGCGCTACACTATTCGGTGAGATTCTTCGTATCATATTTTAGTGGTAGCTTTTTAAACTCAATATCGTATTCTTTCACGAATTCATACGTTTCGGGATTCTTGGCTTTTAGATCAACATTTGAAGGATTGGTTAAAAATGATTTAACCAATCCTTTAAATGGTCAAGTAGCAAATTTTGTAGTACAATTTTATTATGATTATGGAAACCGATGATGATGGTGCTGACAAAAATGATTCAACTGAAGAAGATGATTTAATCAAAATAACAGTTACTTATAAATAATATATTCTTGATGTTAACTTGTTGATTTACTGATTGTAGATTGATTTATTGATTATTTACATAAAAATTCAATGTTTTGTTACACAGTATGTAATAAATAAGGCACACAATTACTATAAATACAATTTTTTTTTTCGTAATAAACAAAAGTTTGTTAGGTGGAAAATATAATGGATTATAAGTGTATGGTCGCTAGTGGTTGTTAACGGGTGGTTTTAGATGTTGAAACTGGGCAACACTGATTAACTGTCACTTTTGTCATTTGCTTGTCACTTTGTTTTGAATTGACAAGCAGTAAAAATCTCAGTTTTTATTTTTATTTATATTAAAAACAGTTGTATTTAGTTATAAGTTTATTAATTATAATGGACAGCGGTAATAATGATAAGTTGTCAATTAGTGACAAAATAAATCCGACCGAATTTGACGTCACAATGAATGCACTTCTCATAGGTTTAGAAGCTGAAAAATATGTTGATATTTTTAGGTACATATACATTTATATGAGATTTTTTTTTAAATAGGAACTAAAAAATAGGATAAGTAAATATACGTTTACCACCAAGTTGGTCTTTAAGGGGCCATTTAGTTTTTCTATGTCTTTTAGGAAGCATAACATTGGTCAGTGCACGTTGATGGAATTAAATGATGAAGATTTGATAAAACTGGGAGTGGATGAACCGAACATTAGAAAAAAACTTCTTGAAGAGGCTACGAACTTGCCAATTTATGAAGAATCTAGTCATAATTTGTAAGTTGTTTTTTTTAATAATTGATTTTTTTTATAGAATGAGGAGCACACAGTTTACCTGATGGTAAGTGGCTGCTGCGGCCCATAGACATCTTGTAGTGTTGTCAACCCTGAGGACTAAGATGGAATACCTCATTAGCAGTAAAATAGGTCTCAGGTTCTCTAAACTCACTGTATGCAACACAGCATTATTCTGCTGTTTCTCGCCAGTATTCTGTGTTTAAAATAAATTATAGTTCACCTGATCGTAAGTGGCTACTGCAGTACATGGACACCTGCAGCTAACTCAAACAAACAAGGCTATAAATGTGTTGTCACCTGTGAGGACTAAGATGAAATACCTCACAGCCTGTGTTTATACTGGCTCTCTTTACTTTTAATACTGAAATACCGCAGTGCAAGCACTGTTATTTGGTGGCAGAAATAGTTAAAACCTACCCTGATTGGACATCAAGGCAGAAAAGAAGTCATATACGTACCTATTAAAAACTATAAACTATTATAAAAAGAAATGGATTTAAACATCTTACATAATACTTCTCTTCTCTCTACTAGAGTAGACTTCACAACGAAAATAGATGTTGATTAAAAGTTCTGTATTTTATAATCACGCCAAATTTAAATTTAATTTTCAACCAACCTTGCCTTGTTTCCTTGCAGAAAGTTTTGTCCTAACCTCGGACCAATGGAGATTGTAGACATATTGGAAGAGAGCTCGCAGCATTTATACAGAATATATTTAAGCATGTTAGCAAACACTTTGGCGGTTAAAAAAACGAAAAAACATTCAGATTGTCTACTATATAAAGACAAATATGCATCTGATATAGCTCTTTCAACATTAAGTGAAATTACTAATATTTTAAACTCTATGGATATTGTCCTTCACACACAATTTAAGGTAAATTACAGCCATTGACAAATTTTATTTTACATTTTGTAAATAGTTAAGATCTAGGTATTGTTAACTAATATGTACATAATATTCATTGTTACAGACCCTCAGCCAAGGATCCAATAAAACAAGGAATAAGAAGATTCTCATTGGTACTGTTGGTAGTGCTATGATAGCTGTATTAACTGTTATGTTTGTAAAATCCTTGAAAGATCTTTGAAAATTTAAATGTTTGTTAAATTTTACATCTTAATAAACTTAAAACGAATAACTGAAAGTTTTTGTCACTTGTTACCAAAAAGTCAAAAAAAAAAGATTAGTAGAAGTTATTGTTATATAGTCCATATTTACTTTTCATTCACATATTTGAATGAAAAATGAATTACTTTTTACCTATCTCCACCAAAATTATGCTTGCCCAAACTTTGCTGCTCCCTATCCTGGATTATGCTACTATAAGATATCTTATTATTACTGAAGGGCACTTTAATAAACTTGAGCGAATTCAGTCTTTGTATATATTTGGACTTCGTTAATATGACCATTGCCTACCTACACTACCTAGCCGTGTAGTGGCGGTTAAGAATATCCACTACCCCATATCCTCCCGTGGGTGTCGTAAAAGGCGACAAAGGGAAACAGGCAGGAGATGGGCAGCAGCATCTTCTTGATAACAACAAACTAACAATAAAAAAAAAACTGCGGTTGCCAACCCGCTCGCCAAGCGTGGCAACTATGGCAAATACCCCCCTATGAATGACAGTAACAAAGAAACGGCCCCCAGTCCCCGGCGGCCCCGCTATTCCTGGCTACGGTGGCGACCATGGTAACGGCGGGGCAGGGGGTGCTAAGAATCTCCGGTGGAGGTTCGGTTGCCACCTTAGACGACTCGACCTGGCAACGTACAACGCACGCACCCTGAGAACTGACGAGAAGATTGTGGAGCTGGAAGAAGAGATAGACAAGTTGCGCTGGCATATTATAGGATTATCCGAAGTCCGAAGAGAGGGGGAGGACACGGTAATCCTCGAATCCGGCAACTTGCTCTATCACCGGGAGGGCGACCATCTGTCCCAAGGAGGTGTCGGATTTATCGTCCACAAGTCTCTCGTTAACAACGTTGTAAAGATCGGGAGTGTGTCGACGAGGGTTGCGTACCTTATACTCAGAATCACCAAACGGTATTCGCTGAAGGTCATACAGGTTTACGCACCAACCTCGGCACACCCCGATGAGGAGGTGGAGGAAATGTATGAGGATATCTCTAGAGCCATGCATTCCTCCAAAACCCAATATACGGTGTTAATGGGAGACTTCAACGCAAAACTAGGCACAAGAGGGAACGGTGAGCTGAAAGTAGGGAAATTTGGAATAGGGCAACGGAACCCAAGGGGCCAGCAGCTGGCCGACTTCATGGAGAAAGAGGGACTCTTTATGATGAACTCTTTCTTCCAGAAGCGGCCCCACAGGAAGTGGACCTGGTCGAGCCCCGACGGTTCGACAAAAAATGAGATTGACTTCATTATGACGACCAGACGACAACTGTTCAGTGATGTCTCCGTGATCGCGAGGGTGAAAACTGGCAGCGATCACCGAATGGTTAGAGGCACACTGAACCTAAACGTTAAGTTGGAGAGGTCTCGTCTAATGAAGTCAACGCTCCGTCCCCCTCGTGCTCTAATCCAAAGTCCCGAAACCTTTCAGCTCGAGTTACAAAACCGTTTTCAGTGCCTAGAAGACTGCAATGAAGTGGACGATATGAATGACAAGCTCGTGGAAACTGTTCATGCGGTCGGAGCTAAGTTCTGCAAGACCCGCCGCAGAAGAACACAAAAACTCTCCGATCACACTCTTAATCTCATGGCTGTTAGACGGGAGATGAAGCTACATTCTTCAACAGACTTGACAGCATACAGGCATCTGAACAGACAGATCTCCAAATGCATACGGCGGGACTTACGCAACTTCAATACAGCTCGTATTGAAGAAGCGATCGAGCGGAACCAAGGCTCCAAAGTCTTTGCCAGAGATCTGTCTGCCAGAAAGAGCCAACTGTCAAAGCTGAAGACAGAGTGTGGCAGCATCGTTTCCGGGACACCTGAGATTTTGAGTGAGATTGAGAGGTTCTATGGGCAGTTGTACACGTCATCGTTGGAGCCACACGCAAGTGTGAGTAACGATCCAAGAGCGAGTCTCATCCGACACTATTCCGAAGATATCCCGGACGTCAGTCTGAGCGAGATTAGAATGGCTCTCCAGCACCTTAAAAACGGTAAGACCCCAGGCGAGGATGGAATTACAGCGGAGCTTCTGAAAGCGGGTGGAAAACCGGTACTTGAAGTCCTTCAGAAGCTCTTTAATTCCGTCCTCCATGGTGGCATTACACCGGAGGCGTGGAGCAGAAGTGCGGTGGTCTTGTTCTTCAAGAAAGATGACAACGCTCTCTTGAAGAACTACAGACCGATTTCCCTTCTGAGCCACGTCTACGTGCTGTTTTCGAGAGTCATTACGAATCGTCTCGCGCGCAAACTTGACGACTTCCAGCCTCCCGAACAAGCCGGTTTCCGAAAGGGCTTTAGCACCATAGACCACATACATACCCTTCGGCAAATTGTACAGAAGTCCGAAGAGTACAATTTGCCACTATGTCTGGCGTATGTGGACTATGAGAAAGCCTTTGATTCCGTCGAAATTTGGGCGGTGCTGCAGTGCCTTCAGCGGTGCCAAGTTGACTGTCGGTATATCGAAGTGTTGAAGTGCTTGTACAGTAGGGCTACGATGGCTGTCCGAGTACAGAACCAGAGTACGAAACCTATCCAATTGCAGAGAGGTGTAAGACAGGGTGACGTCATATCCCCGAAACTCTTCACCGCTGCATTGGAAGACGTTTTCAAGCTTCTGGACTGGAAAGGATACGGTATCGACATCAATGGCGAGTACATCACTCACCTTCGATTTGCCGACGATATAGTCCTTATGGCAGAATCGCTGGAGGACCTAAGCACTATACTCAATGACCTCAATAGTGTTTCCCAACGGATAGGTCTTAAGATGAACATGGACAAAACAAAGATCATGTTTAATGTCCATGTCACACCTATGCCGGTAGTTGTTGGGAACACTAAGCTCGAAGTTGTTGACGAGTATGTTTACCTGGGACAAATAGTCCGACTAGGTAAGTCCAACTTCGACCGAGAGGTCAATCGACGGATTCAACTCGGCTGGGCAGCGTTCGGGAAGCTCCGACACATCTTCTCGTCAGACATACCTCAAAACCTTAAAACGAAATTGTACAACCAGTGCGTGTTGCCAGTGATGACTTACGGAACTGAGACGTGGTCCTTCACTGCTGGCCGTATGAGAAAGCTCAAGGTCGCTCAGCGAGCTATGGAGAGGGCTATGCTCGGAGTTTCTCTGCGTGATAAACTTAGGAATGAGGATATCCGCAGTAGAACCAGAGTAACCGACATAGCCCAACGGATTAGTAAGCTGAAGTGGCAGTGGGCCGGCCATATAGCTCGAAGAACCGACAACCGATGGGGAAGAAAGGTTCTCGAGTGGCGGCCTCGTACCGGTAGGCGAAGTGTAGGGCGTCCCCCCACGAGATGGAGTGACGACCTGGTAAGACATGCAGGAAGTCGATGGATGCAGGTGGCTCAGGACCGTGCTTTGTGGCATTCTTTGGGGGAGGCCTATGTTCAGCAGTGGACTTGTGAAGGGCTGTAATGATGATGATGATGATGAATATGACCATGTCACAGAATACCTTGCTAAGCTCAAGTGGCTCCTAGCACACCTTTGTTGGAACACTCATATCCTCTCTACTTTCTACTACATCTTATTTAATATAGTATCCAGTACACCTTACCTCAGCCTCTCTCATAGCCTTTCCCTTCGGTCCAGAGCCAACTTTTCCTTTGTACGTCCCTTGCAGTCCTCTAATTTTTACTAAACATCTTTTTCAGTTCTTGAAGTCAAACTTTGGAAGTCATTACCGTCAACTATTAAACATGCTCAAATAATAGATTCCTTAAAAACAAAGAAACATTATCCTTCCTTCTTATTTCTCCCAATTTTCTTGTAGTTTCTTTCCACTTTTCGTCTCCCTTTCATTTTTAGGGTTCCGTACCTCAAAAGGAAAAAACGGAACCCTTATAGGATCACTTTGTTGTCCGTCCGTCTGTCTGTCTGTCAAGACCTTTTTTCTCAGGAACGCGTGGAGGTATCAAGCTGAAATTCATACCAAATACTCAAGTCTACTGTCCCTTGGAGCTGTGGAAAAATCAAACTTCTAAGCCAACGCAATCAAAAGATACAGCCGTTTATGCCGCAAATTTTCGACATTCGCAAGGGAATCAAAACCTACAGAGTACTTCCCGTGAACTCAGAATCTTAAAATTTGGTACGAAGCAACGTATTATAGCACAGATAAAGGAAAAATTACGAGAAGCATACATTTTTAGTTACATCATAGAATAAAAATATTTTTATTAATTTTAAACTTATATACCTACGGATTTGTTCGGAACCCTCAGTGCGCGAGTCCGACTCGCACTTGGCCGGTTTTTTCTTGTCGTCTCATGATAACTAGTCTATCAAAATATGAATTAATAAGACAACGTTAAAATAACTTAATCTTAACGTTATCTTATTAACTCACATTTTAGATGATAATATTATTTATATCACATTAATCATTGAGTAATTTTTCTCTTATTTCATATTTCCTTTTTGTAGGTTGCCTTTTGTTTTCTCTCTATGTTTGTTTCTTATTACGTTATTTGTTTTCTAAGTATACAATAAAGGGATTATATTATATATTTCCAGTATTATATTGTATTATCCATGGTCACATAATAAGTTCTTCATTTGACCTTAGACATTAGTTATGAGCATTAGAATCCAAGTTTCTTGACACAGCAATATGTTTGTTTCACAGCAAGCTAACATCTACGATAGTGCTTTTCTTTCAAAGCAGCGTAGTTAACAACACTAACATAAGTTATTGGATATAACCATATAAATACAACTCCCTAAAATAGAATGTTTCAGATATATCACACCATGCGGTTATTCTGTACCAACTAATGAAAATGGTTTACCAAATTGAGCCTTTATTAGCATTCTTAGGGTCTGTTGGTATGCTGCGCAACTTTACAGTTTCATTTTATTCATTTGTTAGTTACAGTTTCATTTAGTCTTTTGTCTGTTCGTGCTACA